ACAAAATGCCTGCTGGTAGAACCCACATGTTTCCCCCTCCCCCACAGGAATCTTGAACCCCTGCCCGTGTAAAAATTTTACCCCTGCCCGGGCAAGCGTTTGCCTAGCGTTCACATACACACTGCCGAGCGTTTAGCGTTCAAACGCTAGCGTTTAAACGCTAGCGTTCAAACGCCAAACGCGTTTGTAGCAACTAAGCTCCCGCGCACCCTTTGTACCACAGCATCCGATCAATGCTACTTTCACCCTTGTCACTGCTCCTCACTGGTCGCCACTATTGAAACATACCGTGCCGCTCCCTCTCCCTCCCTCTCCCTCCTCTCTCTCCCTCTCCCTCCCTCTCCTCCCTCTCCCTCCTCCCTCCCTCTCCCTCTCTCCCTCCCTCTCCCTCCTCTCCTCCCTCTCCCTCCTCTCCTCTCCCTCCCTCTCCTCCCTCTCCCTCTCTCCTCCCTCTCCCTCCCTCTCCTCCCTCTCCCTCCCTCTCCCTCCTCTCCCTCCCTCTCCTCCCTCTCCCTCCCTCTCCCTCCCTCTCCCTCCCTGTCCCTCCCTCTCCCTCCCTCTCCCTCCCTCTCCCTCCCTCTCCCTCCCTCTCCCTCCCTTCCCCCCCCTGCTCTCCCCTCACCCTTTAAATGCAGCATCAGCCGGTCCTCACTGGCCGTCGCTCTTTCCTCATTCCTGTTTCCTCTCCTTCTTCCATTCCCTCGGATCCCCCTCCCTCGCATCCCCCCTCCCTCGTATTCCTCTCTCCATCACACTCTCTCATATTACAGCATCAACCTGACCTCACTGTGCACCGCTCCCTAGACATCTCCGTCCCCTCAGCCTCTTCCTTTCTCACTCGTCTTTCCTCCCTCTCCCCCACACCACAGCATCAACCTGACCTCACTGCGCGCCGATCCCTAGACATCTCCGTGTCCAGCCAACCAAGACGCATTTGCCCCGCAGCTGACCTGGCGGCGGCGGTGCCAGCTGGCGGGCCGGCGGCAGCACCCAGCGCGTGGGCAGGCAATGACACGTCAGCAGCAGCGGAGCCGCTCGGCCAGTCGGCATGGGCCAACAACCTGGGGTGCAAACCCGACCCGCGGCTGAACCCCTACCCCAACTTCGGCTCCCAAAGAATCCGCTTCTCCTCCTCTCATGACAGCCCGGACTGGCTACAGAGCCAGAGTCAGAGGTCTTCATCCGAGTTTAACCCGAAACTGAACCGAAGCTCCTTCGACAGCAGACATGTGCCCATCTCTCCCGCCCCCATCCCGTGGGACTCTCCTGCTGCAGGCAGCAAGTCCTACAACGCAGTAACGAGTCTCGAGGGGTCTACAGGGGGGCAGGGGCAGGGGGGGGCAAGGCAGTAAAGCAGCACCGCTGACCGGCAGAGGAGAGCATATGCCTGAGTATGAGCCGCCACCCATCGGCACGGGGAGCAGCGGTGGGCATAAGGCAGTAGGAGCACAGGGCCCGAGGGTATCGCCGAAGTCTGGTTTTTGCCCTCAGGCCCCTGTCAGAGCAGCAGCAGCAGCAGCAGGGCCTGTGAGGGCTGTGAGAGGTGGGAGTGGATCCTTTCTGTTGCTGAAAGATGAGCTGGCCGCTTATGAAAGACGCGCAGGGACGGTTGCAGACGGAGAAGCAGCAGCAGCAGCAGCAACAGGAGCAACAGGAGCATCTGCGTTTGTGAGGGCGGTGGGGGGCGGGAGTGGATCCTCCATGTCGCTGAAAAACGAACTGGCGTCTTATGAAAGACGAGCAGGGAGGGCAGCAGAAGGAGAAGCAGCAGCAGCAGCAGCAGCAGCAGCAGGAGCATCTGTGTCTGTGAGGGTGGTGGGCGGTGGGAGTGGATCCCTCATGTCGCTGAAAGACGAGCTGGCGGCTTATGACGACAGCGAGGAGGAGGGAGAGACGCTCATACGACCTCGTGCACCTGCTGCTGCGGCCACACCTGCTGCTGCTGCTGCTGCCCCTGCTGCTGCTTTGGCGGCAGATATTTCTGCACCTGGTGCTACTTTGGAAGCCTCGTTCGAAATCTTCCGTTCTGACTCTCCGCCAACTGCAGCAGCTGGGAGCCACAGCACAGGCAGCAGCGGGGGCAGCGGCAGCGGCAGCGGCAGTGGCAGTGGCAGTGGCTCCATATCTTTCTCGCCGAACGGCCCCCAGCTGGCAGGAAACAGCCAAGGGAACAGCAGAGGGTACAGCCGGGGGGCACAGGGGGGCGAGGCTGGAGGAGGGGGCTCCCCAGCAGCAGTGGAGTGCCGGCAATTCTCCCCGGACCAACTCGCCCGAGCCACGGACAGCTGGGCGGCAGACAACAGGCTCGGGCGAGGCTCGTTCGGAACCGTATACAAGGGCCGGTTGCTGGGATGTATGGTAGCAGTGAAAAAACTCGAAGGGGCGGGTGGCAGGGCAGTGCAGAGTACCACATGGAAGTGGAAGTTCTGTCGAGGATGCGGCACCCCCACATAGTGCTGCTCATGGGGCACTGCCCCGACGAGATGTGCCTCGTGTATGAGTACCTGCCAGGGGGCAGCCTGCAGGACTGTCTTGATGCTATTGCTGCTGGGAATAGCAGTGGCATGGGCAGTAGGGGTGGTGGGATGAGCAGTGATGGGTTTAGCAGCAGCACCGGTGGAGCGAGCCTAGGTGGTGCTGTCATTAGCAGCGGTAGCAATAGCAGCAGCATTGGCGGGGGCAACAGTGCTGGTGGTGGTGGTAGTGTTGGGGGGAGCAGCAGGGGCGGCAGAAAGGCGTTGACTTGGTTTGACCGGGTGAGAATCTTATCTGAGGTGGCCGGAGCTCTGATGTACCTCCACCAGAACGACCCCCCCATAGCACACCGCGACTTAAAGCCCGACAACATCCTCCTCGATACAAGCCTCTCCTCTAAGGTGGGCGACGTGGGCCTTGCGCGGTTACTCAGCGACGTCGAGAACATAACCGCGCGGGTGCGAGGCACAGTGGGGTATATTGACCCGGAGGAGCTAGAGACCTGCGAGATCTCGGTGCTGTCTGACGTGTATGCGTTTGGGCTGATAGCGCTGCAGCTGCTCCTAGGGGAGCCCAACGTGAAAGAGCTCCATAGGAGACTGGCGCGAATGCAGGAGTGGATTGGCGTGAGCATGGGTGGGTTTGGGGTAGGGGGAGGAGAGGGCATGGTGGGTAATGCCTGGGGCCAGAGCCCGTCAGCCGAGGCAGCCAGTACAAGGGTTTTGGCGCGGACTATTGATGAGATCGTGAGGGAGTTGGACATTTCCGGGGGCCAGTGGCCCGTGCCTGTGGCTCGGAAGCTGGCGGAGCTGGCGCTCCGGTGTGTGGTTCGGCAGCGGGAGGCTCGGCCGAGCCTGGTGGAGGTGGTACAGCCGGCCATGGGGGAGGTGATGGAGGACGCTGAGGGGGAGATGGGGAAGCGGAGACGAAGCTTCGACGAGCAGTGCATGTGCCCCCTGTCGCATGTGAGACTCATTCTAGCCATGTTAACTTAGTTTGCCTAGGCTTGCCTGTAAGGCTGAGGGGGAGATGGGGAAGCGGTGATGAGTGGTGCGTGTGCCCCTTGGGGGCAGAATACATGACAGTGCAGCAATTCAGCATTCCTCTTCCTCTCCCGTTGTCCCTTTGATTGCTCCCATCACCCTTCTTTCCCTCTCAGAAACGCATGACGGACCCGGTGGTGGCAGCCGACGGGTTCACGTACGAGCGCAGCAGCATCGAGCGCTGGTTGCTCGCCCACTCCACCTCACCACGCACCGGCCAGCCACTCCCCCACAAGCACCTCACACCCAACCACACGCTCAAGGTGCTGCTGCAGGGGCAGTAGGGGCTGCTTACTTTGCTGCAGGGGCAGTAGAGGCTGCTACTCTCCACAGGTTCACGCAGAGGCGCAGCAGCATCGAGCGCACCACCCTCCGCACCGGGCAGCCGCTCCCCACAAGCACCTCACACCCAACCACACACTCAAGGTGCTGCTGCAGGGGCAGAAGGGGCTGCACGCTTTGGTAGAGGCGCAGTAGGGGCTGCTACTCCCACAGGTTCATGTACGAGCGCAGCAGCATCGAGCGCACCTTCCCCCGCACCGGCCAGCCCCTCCCCCACAAGCACCTCACGCCCAACCCAGCCGCTCCTCCATTGGTGCTTGTGCTTCCTTGGTGCTTGTTCTTCCTTGGTGCTTGTGCTTCCTTGGTGCTTGTGCTTGCTGCAATCTGGGGGGCTGGGGTCCCTACTGGCCCTGCAGCTCAAGCACAAGCACAAGCATCTCACTCACCCCCAGCCAAGGTGCTGCTGCAGGTGCAATACAGTCTACTGCTGCCTGTGGGATTGCCTGACACACTGGCATGATGGCATCTGCAACCCGCCTTGGCATCGATCAAGCATCTCGCCATCTCCCTGCAATCCGTCATCTCTCAACAGACTTTCACTATTTGTTTGCTGGCCAACCTTTTCCACCAACCCGGCTTCTCCGGCTTGGTGCTATTGCGGCAGCGCACCATTTGTGTTAGCAGCAACAACAGCAGCTATTGTGCACTTCAAATCCTGCAGTGCACGCTTTTTTTGTTCGATTTTTATCGTTTTGCCCGTAGGTAGCTGTAGTATGCATAGCAGACCCCCAGGTTGACGATATGCTGTGTGGATTCATGTAGATGTGGTACTGTATGGGCTGCTTTGGTACGATGTGTTGTGATATAGTAGTTTCCATGTATCATACAAGATGATGTGTATAGTTTTCCCTATGCATTGCGTCATTTCTTTTGTTTCATGATTGGCTCTAGAACCATACCGACATAGAGCAACGCACAACATTCATTCACTCCATTCTAGAAAGAAAGATGTGAGAAAGTGTAGAGAGAGCTAGGAATTAAGCGAGATGAGATTTCTGAACGTCTTGTAGAGTAAAAACAGATTAGGTCGTAACAGGGGGTGATCGCGAAACGAGGTTGGGGGTTCTTCTGACATCTCAGGTTTCGCGCTTTTCCTCGCTTCCCCGCCAAAACCTGACCAGGCTTTTGCAGAAGCCTGGTCACTGGTCTCTCTAGCCAGTGGTCGCTGGCTGGTGCTCACCAGAACTGCTCCTTCAGGCTCACCAACGCTGGTGACCCTTGCATCTCGGTCGGCTGTCTGCACTGTTAGTTCTTCTTTTCGTTCTCGCGTTTCTATACCTTGCCAGTTTCGACTAGGACCGCGTTTTACCCTTGCCTTGACGACGACATTTCGATCAACGGCTTTGAGATCTTCCGTCGCGGGCTTCGTTCCGTGTCGCTCCGTTCCTGACTGCCGTTCGATCAAGGCTGTTTTCGCTCCCGCTCTTCCAACAGCGTCAGTGACAAGAGATGGTGAGCTCAAACTAGCCGTCGCGAAAACGCATTGTTGCGAATGTGCAGCGGCGGGGAGCGGCATTGCCGTTTTCAAAGTATCTGCTTACTCGCCCATACTTTCCTCGTGGTTGAGATGGTCAGGGATTTCGAGCGAGCATTTTTATCGCCGTGTTTTCCAGCGAACGTCTTTCAAATCCGTCATTTCATTTTAACTGAGCTTTCCGTCTGTGTGCTGCCGCTCCATCGCTTCTATCAGGAGGACTTTTGGAAGGAGGCATTTCCAGTGGGCACAGAGGTACCCATTCCACTCACTTCGCTTACTTCGCTCACTTCGCTTTCTTCTCTTACTTCGCTTACTTCGCTTACTTCTAGGGACGAAACCATATCTAGTTGTTGTTGTTGGTTGTTGTTGTTGTTGTTGTTTTTTTTTTTTTTTTTTTTCTCTCTCCCTGGTTCTGTTCTTCCGCTGTCACGCCCCATATTTCAATGTTCGCCTTCACGTCTGAGAAGCAGCCTGATACATCTACTCGAAACCCTTTCCTTTTCCTTCCGGCGATGTCCAATTCACATGGGTTCGCTGCAAGCTCGATCCTGCACTCTTATCCGCTACAAATCCACCCCTTTTTGCGAAGTGATGTTACTAACAAATCCATGCGACACTCGCACATATCGTCATCTTCCATGCTCGCATGCTAGTGTTCTTCTCCTGCCACAACTCCATATTCAGGGTGTCTCATTACCCACTGCTCGTGCTCTTTGCCCTGGCAGTGGGATCAATACGACAAAGTGTACGAAATCGAGTGGGACTTCTCAAACCTCGATGTAAGCACAATTCTATCCTCCATATAAGCACATCCCGCTCAATTCCCTGTGGATTCCTGAGGTACCCGGGGAACACTCATGCGGCACACTCACATTCTTCCCAAATACTCCTGACCGTGTGAGTTTATCGTGTAACTCACTTGTAACCCTAGATTGACCTCCAAACCCCCCTCCCCCTCCCCCCTCCCCCTTCCCCTTTTTCTTCCTCTCGCCCTCCCCCACACTCCACACACACCCTCTCCCACACACTCTCTGGCTCCTCGATTCAGGAGGCGTTTGACGAAGGGGGGGCCCTGCACAACAAGCGGGTCTACCTCTTCGGCTGCACAGAACGTGAGTTGAAACCCTTAAAGCGACATCAGATGTGAAGTGCTCACTGCAGCATGCGAGCTGAAACTCTGAGAGTAACATGTCAAAAGATTGAATCAGTGGAAAGAAATAGAACCACATCTGGATCCTACAAGTCTAGTGTCATTTTCTCCCATGTACACCTCATACACCCGACATGCCAAGTGCTTTTCACGAATTCCATGCCTCCTTTTTCCCTCCCCATTAGTCGCCTCCGCAATCCTCCTTAAACCCTCTCCCCCTCCGTCAACCCATTCACCATCCCTGTATTCACCATCCCTGTATTCACCATCCCTGTATTCACCATCCCTGTATTCACCATCCCTGTACCCTGTCCATCATTTCAGCGCAGCTGGTGCACTGGAAGGGGAAGGACAAAGTGGTTCACGTGCCAGCAGTGGTGGCGGTATGTTCCTGGGTTTAGGGTCGAGGTTTAGGGCTAGGTCTAGGGTTAGGGTTAGGTATACGGCTTAAATGAAAGGTTGTGCTGTACGGTTTAGAGTTGGGGTTGAACGTACGGTTCAGGATCAGAACCCTGACTTGGGGCTTTTCAAGAAGAGGTGCCATCCTTCTGTGACCCCTCGGACTTGCCCAGTATCGAATCGGTGCCAAGCAGATGGAGACAAATACTTGTGGGACAGACAGGCTGTTTGGAGACAAAGACCTATCCTCGTCCCCCCTTCCTTACCCTCGCAGGTGCTGTCGCCTCGCCATTCGCCCAATCCCTCCGCACCCCCACCAGTGCTGTCCCCATTCGCCCCCTCGGACAAGCTGGGCATCAAGTCGGTGCAGATGGAGACCGAGATGATCGTTGCCTGTACTCACCCCTGCTCCCCCTCTTCCCCTGCTTCTCACCCGAACCTCCACCCAGGTGCTATCGCCCTTTGCTCCTTCAGACAAGCTGGGCATCAAGTCGGTGCAGATGGAGACCGAGATGATCGTGCCAATGCGGGAGATGAAGATGGACTGGATACCCTACATCCCGGATGACAGGTGAGAGGGGAGGGGGATGTGAGAGTGAGGCATCGAGGGAGGGGAGAGGGGGTAGGACCCTGAGACCAATAGGATCGTGCCGATGCGGGAGAGGAAGATGGACTGGATACCCTATATCCCGGACGACAGGTGAGAGGGGAGGGAAGGTGACGAGGGGGGGAGGGGGAGAGGAGCGTGCAAGATGGGAAGGCACGTGAGTGTGCCCATGAGGGAGATGCATATGGGCTGGATCCCTTTATCCCAGATGACAGGTGAGGGGAGAGGGGAGGAGAAGGTGACGAGGGGGAGGGGAGAGGAGCGTGCAAGATCGGAAGGCACGTGAGTGTGCCCATAAGGGAGACGCATATGGGCTGGGTTCCAATCATCCCAGATGACAGGTGAGAGCGCAGAAGACGGTGACGAGTGACGCGGGGGAGGGCGAGAGGAGGGAGTAGCACCTGGGGACAAAGATGATGGTGCTGATGAGGGCGATGAAGATGGTCTGGATTCCGTTCATTTTTAATGACAGGTCGGTGTCACACACCTTGGTTTGATGGGGGGATGCGAGAGGGAAGCGATGAGGGAGGGGAGAGCGGGGTAGCGCCTGGAAACAGAGATGACCCATGGGGGAGATGAGAGAGTGAAGCGATGGGGGAGGGGAGAGCGGCGTAGGGCATGAGGACAGAATTGGCTGTCCCAATGAGGGGATGAGGATGGGCTTGATCCTGTTCATCTCGGATGACTGGTGAGGCTGAGGCGGAACGAGAGGAGGGAGGAGAGGAGGGGGTAGGACCTGGAGACAGAGATATTTGTGCCGATGCGGACTAGATTCCGTTCATTCAGAATAATTGGTGAGTGAGAAGAACCTGCGGAGGGGAGAGGAGGGGGAAGGAGCGGAGAGGAGGGGAGGGGACGGGGGTAGGAGGTAACAAGAAGGGAAGGAAGGGGGAAAAGGGGAGGAGGGGAGAGGAGGTAAGGGGAGGTGGTCTTTGCTGAAGGGGAAGAGTGTTAGGGTGGAGTTGCACTTCGTTCAACCTCTCTTCATCCATCTGCTCCTTCCTTTCCTTACCCATGTCATATCCTCTGTGCAGTCGAGGCACGTCCCTAAGGCGGTACCGCTCCGATATCTTCACGCTCAAGTGCATACAAAGAAGGTGAGCTCTTAAGTGCGTACTATTCTGTCGAGCTAACTCAGGCAGGTCATGGGCGGGGAGAGATGCAGTCAGAGCTCTCAACCGTGTAGCACCTTCTGAGGCGTCTCAAAACTTCTAGGCCCTTTCACTCTGATACCTGTTGAGC